GCAGAAGAAAGACGAGGCTTCCTACTCCCATAAAGAGTTACAGTCTCGGAAACACCCAGGGCAGTTCTACCCTGTCCTATAGGGCCGCTGTGAGTCGCCACCAACGTGATGGCAGTGATTCAGTTAGCTTTCACCTTCGCTGTCCTTAGCTGAGAGAGAGTCAGCCTTCTTTGTCTTCACATTTTTATCTTCCGAGCCCTCACTGTCTTCCAGTGGATTCTTTCCATATCGCCTCTTATTTTCAGCTGCGGGGGGAGATGATTGCATATTCTTAGTCGGACGACCTGTATCTCTTCCATAATCATTGTCAGCATCATCAGATTCCCACAACTGTGAATAACAGATGACCTCCTTATTGCTGATAGGCAAGTCTTGTATGCTGTCCAGACAAGACTGAGTTGAGAAGCCAAAGACCAGGCCAACCCCTGGCCCGCACCCCCACACTCCCAGCTCCCTACCCCCAAGCTTGGTGCCCAGCCCTCAAATTTGCAGTTGTCACTGCCGTAGCTGAACCTCCAAGTCATAGTTTTTCAATCTCTAGAGGAGCCCCACTTCCCCTCTACCCAGGCAGCTGATTGTCTCTTGAGGGAGATCTGAGTCACACTTCATGACCACGGCTCAGTCCAGTCATGTGTAGCTTCTGTGGTTCTTTCCAACAGATCACCTGTGCTCATTTTATGCTTCTGATATCAAAAACTGGAACCACCTTGATATGCTTTTAACTTGTACAAAGCATATGACATGTTCAAGGCTGAGCTAGGTGCCGCTAGGCAAGTAATGTGTAGTGCTGTAACAGATAAGCTTGTAAAATGTATAATACTAGTAGTTTTAGCATACTCAAGGTATTCAAATCATGTTCCTTTGAAATATTCTTTGAGTTCTGGGTGCAAACAGAAGTCTGAATGGGATAATATTAGGGTTGGAAGATGTGTGCATTAAGGTTCCCCATTGAAATTCTTATAGGACAACTCTTACTACCCTTGAAGAATGAGCAAGTCCATTGTTAAGATCGGAAAAAAAAATTGGGGGTGCAATTTCCTAATCTTTTTCTCTCCAGTGTGGTTTGCTTTAAGCTTCTTCATTACTGTCCTGTGTCTTTGGAGAAAGTCTGTCAAGCTTAAGCCTTTAGAATCTCAGGAAACAGACAACATAGCCTTCTCAACTGACTTCTGTGCTTCTAGTTTAACTCACCCTGTAGATCCCCTTGGAAGCCACCATTTTCATTGGGACTTGCTTTCTGGATTGTACTGGCCAATCCAAGACCTGTCTCCAGGTACAAGTCCTTCTTCATTAGCTTAGATCCTGCTTAAAACCAGATGGAAAGATGAGCGTTTGGGGCTAGTTGGGCTTCTCACACAACACTTTTGGCACCTATGAAGTTGAAAGTCTCCTGAAGTAAAAATGTTTGCTTACACAGGAAATGTGGAGTCGTGTGAGATCTCAAAACTTCAGAAGCGATTGAATCAATGGTAATTCTACAGCCTGCTTACAACAGTCACTGGACTGCAGCCATAGTTTCTTCACTCGTCAAAGTTGGCAAATTTGTCAACTTCTCTCTTGTGGCTCATCTTGAAGGGCTTCCTTGATTAGTTTAATATTTGTGGGTTGGGTGAGAAAGCATTCTTGTAAACTTATTCAATGAATTAGGAAAATATTTACCTGACTTTTATTGAAAATTTAGTATTTGTCCTCAAAATAGTTTCCCCTCCATAGTACAAAAGTCTCCTTTTTAAAAAGGCACTCTAATGAGACCAAGACACTGACGGAAACACAATTACCAAGAGAACTTGTTGGAAGCCGTACACTGATGTCAGAGACTTGCTTAGACATGTTTTTCTTTGGAACACTCATCCATGTATGATATGAAATCCTAGTAGCAATGCTTTTGACTTACCCTCATAGAGGTGGCTATGTCACCTGATGTAGAGATAGCGGTGACTCTCTCTCATCTCTCAAAGCACAGTTTTCAAAAAAGGGAGATGGTATACACACCTATTTTCCTGAGAGTCTCTGATGATATAAAATGACACAGTTAGAATAACAGTCATTCACCTTTTCCCCTCTCTGTTTCAGGTTTGCAGGATAACCCTTGGTTCTGTGACTGCCACGTTTCCAAAATGATTGAGCTGTCAAAGGTTGCTGACACCGCTGTAGTGCTTCTTGATCCACTGATGGTTTGTAGTGCGCCCGAGAGCCTCACAGGGATTGTGTTCCAACGGGTTGAGTTGGCGCAGTGTCGGAAGCCATCTGTGACAATCTCGGCCACCAAAATCACATCAGCTCCGGGCAGCAATGTCCTGCTGAGGTGCGATGCTACTGGCTATCCCACCCCACAGCTCACGTGGACCAGATCTAACAGCTTGCCAGTTAATTATGCAGGTACTTCCTTCACTCCATTTGCTCCTATGGCACGAGGAATTCACAAAGATCTCTACTCAATCTCATGCTTTTGTGGGATTTGAAGTTTGTGATTTTATTTCCAATAAGATATACCCGTATTGTTGGACATAATGAATTTCAGAGATATATGTGTTAGCCAGGGTTCTCTAGAGCTCTAGAGAAACAGAACTAGGACACTTATGAAAAAAAAATGCATGTAACGAGAAGGAATACAACAGCTAATTAGTCCACACAGCAGTATAGGGCTCAATTCAACTCACTTTGGTGGAAGAGTTCATATACTGGTGGTCCAAGGTCAAGGAAGCAGACAGTGAAATCTGCCCCCAGGGAAGCCCAGCAGAGTCTACTACAGACAGCAGACCCGGCAAGGTGGGGTGGCAACAGCAGGAAAATGAAAGTCAAAGCATAGCAGAGGCCAGTAGCACAGGAGCTTAACGAAGCTCGTCCTGATGGAGCTTCAAGCTCTAGCCATCGCTGCAAGGCAACAAGATCCACTGGTTGGATCGGCCCACATAACAGGGTTGAAGCAAAGGACTAGCTCAAGTAGTTGCGCAGGTTCAATCACCAGGTAGAAAGAGAGAGGGAGGCCGGCCTCAGAAAGCCATTTATCTTGGTCACCCTCCAATCAAGCTGTGACCTGATTGACAGTCTAAACTCTGCCCACACGTTCCTATGGGAGTCATTTAGCACAGAAAACTTATTACCTGACTGGTAATAGCCCATCAGTCTATCTTCTAACTACAGAGACATATTTAAGCAATAGAATTATTTTCTTAGATAGAGAAAAGTAAACTTCGGGGAATGAGTAATTGCTGACAAAAGTTTTGTCTGGCTCTATCATCTTGGATATGTCTGATTTTAAAAATGTATAACCATTACATTTTTCTTAAGTGAATATTTTCATGCAAATTTCTCACTTTGGAATGATATTTCAAATAATTAATTGCACAGATGATATCTATTGGTTAAATAAAAAGTATGATTTTAGAAATATTGATTACATGGACTTTTTCAATCCTTCTATAATCAACTCACTATGAATTGGAATTAACCTCATGACAAGATCATGAAGTCAATGATGCGGTCATGAGTTCTATTTGGGTGTTCTTAAGAATGGTATTCTGAAGACTGTAGGAACATATTTTTAAAGTTCTTTAACAAAATTAAAATATACATTTAAATAATGAAATCTGATGGGTTAAAAAGAAACTAAAATCTAATATTCCTTAAAAAAATGACTGACAGTGGAAGGTAATGAGTTAGGTTTTGGTTTGTTGAACTATAATTCAGGGAGTTACCATTCTTCAGAACGTTTCATAAATCAAGACAAAATAGAAACATACTCCTAATTTAGCATTTAGGAAAGTAAAATTCAAATTTTGGTAAAAGCTATTGAGCAAATAAGAGAATCTCTAATTTACCGATTTATATAAATTAAATATCAAATGAGAAATACTAGATAAAATTCTGACTGCCCTATGACAGAGAAGGAGTCTACTGGGCTGTGTAGCCATGTGAATAGATGACAATGAAAAAGTGCTTTGAGGAATCTCTAGGTGATGCATTGTGATGGGTATTTTATAGACTCACTCAGAACCAAACCCACGGCCTCAAGTCGATTCCAACTCATAGCGACTCTGTAGATAGAACATGGTAGAACGAACTGCCCCTGCGAGTTTCTGAGACTGTAACACTTTATAGAGGGGTTTTGGTTTTGAGGGATTACCTGGCAGTTAGCAGTCTGATGTGTAACCAACTCTGCCACCAGAGATAACCAAAAACCAAACCAAACTCATTGTCATGCAGTCAATTCTGACTCAGTGATCCTACAGGGCAGAGTAGAACGTCCCTTTTGGGTTTCAGAGTGGAACTCCCAGATCTCTTGGGGAGTAGACAGCCGTATCTTTCTCCACCGTGGTTCATAGTGAATTAAAATTCGAATTGTTCTTTGAGATCATTTTATCTACTCTTTTTATTTGACCAATGAGAAAACAGAGGACCAAAGAAGCACTAGTTGACTTGTTCAAAAGCACAAGCCACTTAGTGAACATACGTTTACTAAACCCTGTTTCTTGTTTTTCATCTCCATATCCTCCTAAAATTCCATTCTTCATAAAGCGCTTATAGTACCCAATGTGTTCTAGACTTTCATGTAAAGAACTTACAGATCCAGCAACATGTTCAGAGACCTGCAGTGTGCTGTTTCCCTCCTGGCTTCATGTGTGAAGGGTGTTTGCAGAGGTAGATCTTTGGTTGCTTTGTTAGCTGGTATGTTTGCTTAAGTTGTTCCTTTTTTCCCTCACACAATCTTCACTTGTTTTCTTCCAGTAATTCAGGAATCTCCAGGGGAAGGAGTCAGATGGTCCATAATAAGCTTGACAGGCATTTCTTACAAAGACGCTGGGGATTACAAGTGTAAGGCCAAAAATTTGGCAGGAATATCAGAAGCTGTGGTTACTGTGACAGTGGTTGGTGTGGTCACAAGCACCATATCAACAGAAACACTTGACAGAACTGGAGACCATCCTGAGCAAGAGTCCAAGTCAGGATCTGCAAGAACTATATCCTTGCCTACTTCATCATTATCTCCCCGGTCCTCTTCCCCCCTTGATTCTTCTACTTCTGTTTCTAGTTTGTCTCCCCATTCCTCTGCTTCCTTCCCTTTATCTCCTCCCACCTCCTCCACTGGTTCTTGGACCACAACTCTAAGCACTGGAATTTCAGCAAGCGGTGCTATGGCTAACAGGCAGTCATTCCAACTACAACCAGAAGGGAAAATGAATTTACAGGTGGAGATGGATGGAAGCAAACCTTCTCCAGGAAGTGCAAACAAGAAAGAAGAGTTGGCATTATTGGACCGAACAGTGCCAGTGGAGACAAATGCCACAATAGAAAACCTGAGGATTGTGAGTGAGACTGACGAGAGTGTGACTTTAATGTGGAATACTCTCAATACCACACTTAACTCTGCAATGACCATTCTGTATGCCAAGGATGGTGAGAAGGATGTGCTCTGGCGGAATGTGGATGCCAGCACCACCCGAGTCACCATAGAGGGTTTGGAGCCGGGCAGGCAGTACACAGCATGTGTGTGTCCCAACGGGATGTCTCCCCAGAAAGAGCAATGCCTCACCTTTTCTATGCACACAGCTCAGGGGTACCTTCAATGGTCAGTCCTTACTGTGGTGAGCATTACCACCTGTGCTGTTGTCTTGCCCTTGGTTTGTTTCCTGTTGTACAAAGTCTTCACGCTTCAACATAAGTCAGAATTTTTCTGGGAAGATGACCTGGCCAAAGAGACATATATCCAGTTTGAAACCCCATCTCCTAGGTCTCAAAGTGTAGGGGAACTCTGGACCCGAAGACACAAAGATGACTCAGAAAAATTACTGCTTTGTTCTCGGTCCAGTGCAGAACCTCAGATGACCTTCTAAAGGGAGGGTTGCAGAGCTGAGTATTCTCGCTAAGGTTTTGTAGCTCTTGCGTGTGTAATGTTCAAGTTACAGGCTGAAGGTTATGGTAGACCTTCTGTTTGGATGAAGACTGACTTTAGCCATAGAATGGGTGGAAGTAGAGATCTTTACATCCTCTGTGAAAATCACAAATGGAATGGCATTAAGTGGATTAAAAAAAAAACACCACTAAACTAACATGATGCTTCTGAACTGAAAAAAGACAAACAATCCTGGATTTTGTTATTTGGAAAATGTCTATAGAAGAATTTTTAGGGTAGTGCTTAATAAATTAATAATATTTTAGAAGTAATGTTTTAGTTCCCAAAAATGCATTTATGTGAAAAAAGTTAAGCCTGTATTAAAAAAATATATGTTATATGTGTGTATATATACACACACATACATACAACACATTTGGTATATATCAAATATATATACCACATATATAATTGCAATTATATATATTTGGTAAAATTCATTGCCGTAGGGTAGATTTTGACTCATAACATGACCCTATAAGGCAGGGTAGAACTGCCTCTGAGTTTCCTAAAAGGGAGTAGAATATATATATTTGTTTAACTGGTCAAGAAATGTTAGTACAACTAGCTAAGTCTTCATGCTCATTCATGTCCTAAGTGCTTTATAACCACTTGCTGGGAATATTTGCTGGCACTGTCTAAGGAACAAGAGTTGGATAATAAAAAATTTTGCCCTTACTAAGGTTAAATGCAACCTAAGAGAGAACTCTGTCTCTTGGTACTATCATGTATTGCCGTATTATAGTGTTGGGTTCATATTGTATACAAAAAAAGTCCCCCTTGTCCTTATCAGAATTATAGCTTTTAGTAAAAAAATAATACAAAGAGAAGACTTGAGGCCATTTGCAAAAATTGTAAAAGTAATCTAACACATCTCTGTTAGTCTTTTAGGCATATTTTGTCATTCCTTTTAAAATAATACACACATTTAAAACATCTCCTTAATACCCCAGAAGAATTTATTTCAGAGGACAGCACTGAAGCAGCAGCTCAGGGAGAGGGACACGTCTGATCAGAACACATGGGAGCAAATGAAGGGGGAAGAAGAGAGAGTGGAGCACATCCTGGCTCACCTAGCCTTGAGGGCAATATTCCCGCTCAGAGCTACCAATGCACAGAGAAGACCACATGGCTGGCCCCAGTATGAGAAACAACATCCCTCACTGACCCATTGCCCTGCAGGGGACAACACTGGAGACACAGTGTAGGAATTCTGCCCGATCTGATCCCACCACACCAAGGCAAAACACTAAGGGTGTGCAACGGAACAGCAAGGGGAACAGAGCAACAAAGTCCCAAGGCAATAACAAAAATAGATGGGGCCAGGGCATGGCACCCCATTAAACTCAACCAGAAAACACTCGTAAAGGCCAACAAACAGTCCTTGAACTAGCTACAAGCTTTTCATTTTTGTTGTTGTGATATGCAGGGTTTTTTTTGGTCATTGGTTTTTTTTGTTGTTGTTTTCTTTTCTTTTGTTGCTTGGTTTTGCTCTGTCTTGTTTTTGTGCATGTTATATCTACGCAGGTCTGTCTAAATAAGATAGGCAGGATGAACAATCTGGAGGAGAAAACAACGGGACCAACAGTTCTGGGGAAACATGGGAGAGGGGGAGGGGGGGGAAAGGAAGTGATATTAACAAACCCAGGGACAAGGGAACAACAAGTGATCCAAATCAGTG